AATGCTTAAAAAATCAAATTATTTATTGAACTAAAAAAGTTACGGATTCATGATTTATCAATCCAACTATACCGTCATATCATAATTACATTATATATATATATATATATATATATAAAGATATAATATCATGCGATATTTAAAACAAACAATGTCACAAATTATATTTGTCCTAGAAAATAAAAAAGAAAAAATGAAATGAAATTTGGTATATTTGAGTTAGTATTTATGGATTAAATCATGGAAGAAATGAGTGAAAATATAGGGGAAATGGAAATAATATTGAACACAGTGGATAAGAGAAAAATGGTGTCCAAACTTTTTCTCTTTTTTTTTTTTGCATTTAAGTGATACAAATTTGCCATTGATTTTATACTGATGGTGCATTTTAAAGAAAGTTGGAGTGTTAAGTGTAAATGTTGTAATATTGAGATACAAAGTGCTAAAAACTTATATTTTATGGGTGCAATGTACCAAAAATTCATAAAAATTAAGAGAACTTGGGCAGTCGGTTCCCACAAACAAAATTAAATTAAAAAAATTGAGAAGTTAGTTTCGATAGGACAGAATTCTCAATTTTCTTTTCTTTTTTATTTTTCTCAAATATTTATTTTTAACTAAAAATAAAATTGAGAAGTTTTGGGAATGTCTTGGTAAGGGTGAGCATGGTTCCTTTTTTTTTTTTCTTTCTCTATAAAATTATACTATAACAATTTTTCAATTTTTTAAGTATTAAAATTAAAACCATACTTTTGATGTTGATAATATTACTTGGGTTTTATTCGATTTTGGAATGATTTTACATTTTTTAATCATATTAAAGTGTTTAAATAAAATAATAAAATTTTTACAAAATCACAAAAAGAATATTTTTTTAGTCTGTAAATTGTACAAAAAAATAAATTATCTAGAAGTATATAATGTTGATAATTTTTTAATTTAGGGTTTTAATTTTAAAAATTTTATTTATAACTATCTATTATTTTTATATTCTTGATCTCACAACACATAATCTAATTTTCTCTCAAATTTCTATAAAAACACTCTTATTAGCTAAAGTGTCCACATAAGATTATGAACATTTTACAAATGCAAATAGCACTTTAATGGTGTGTTAATAAATAATTTTCTTATCTTGCTCCCCATGAAATAGGAAAGGAATATTTAAAAAAAAAAAGATTTCTAAGTTACACACTGACTTCAAATTTTATGAAAGAAAGCTTCAAATTTTATCAAAGATCAAATAAAAATTAATTTAGTATCTCAATCATATTATAAGTAAACAATATTTTAAATAAATTGTTACTTACCAAAAATAAAAAGTAACATTGAAAACAAATAATAAAAATCACTGAAAAACAAATGAAAAAGTAAATTTTACTTAATCAAATTTAATATCAAACTTTCGATCAACTTAATTATAAACTTACCATCATTTTAGGGGTTTAATTAATTTGCATATAATATAGTTAATTCAATTAAAAACTTATAATCTAATTATTTAAAAATTTAATCATTTTATGTATAATATAAATAATTTGATAAATTAATATATATATATAATATTCAACTTAGTACGATTTTTTTAATTTTAAATTTATAAAATTAAAATCATACTAAAATATTTGATATGTTATTACCTAATACAAAAATTATTTTTAAAAAGAAATGCTGTCACACCCCAAACCCTAGGCCCGTGATGGGCACTGGGATCCACCGACCCTAGTAAGTCTCAACAAAACCAGTCGAACTCCAAAGATATAAAATATACACAAAGTGCGATAATATAACATCCAAAAATCACCTGAGATCTTGTCTGAGAGTACAAGGAAGTTATTCTAGAATATAATAAAGGAAAGATATAAAAAAAGAAGTGCCCGTACATCGATCAAATCTGCAGTCACTATCTCCCACACTGGCACGCTAACCAAGGCGAGTACAGTCAATGAATCTAGAATATTTAAAACTATGAGTCGTAAAACTCAGTGAGTACGGATGATACCTAATCTATACATGTTGGGATATGCATTACGCCACAAGTACAAATCATACATACACATATGTACACAGTGAGCAGTAATCAAAACACATATGTGAGGTATCAAGGTAATCAATCATTACATTGCATCAATCACAGGGCCAGTGTACTCCCCACACGCTACGGAAGAACACCGTCCGCCGAATGAGCCTTTAGCCACACAACTCATCTCATCGCCGGGCCAAGGTACTCCCCGTACGCTACGGTCCACCGTCCGTCGGCTGAGCCTACCATCCCATACACATCACATCATTGGGCCAGTATACTCCCTGCACGCTACGGTAGCACACCGTCCGTCGGTTGAGCCTTTAGCCACACAACTCATCTCATCGCCAGGCCAAGGTACTCCCCGTACGCTACGGTCCATTGTCGATCGGCTGAGCCTACCATCCCGTACACATCACATCACGAGACTCCTATCTCATCTTCTCACGATCGGATGAACCCACTATCTCAATAATCGGAGGAATCGCACTAATGCATATCACATCCGCGGCCTCCGCTGCCTCACATCACACATCACATCGCGGCCTCTGTCGCCCGTGGTCCCTGCCGCCTCACATCACATGATACCATCCTCACATGTAGTCAAGAACAAGTATACATACGTATATATAGTTCACATCTCAAACAAGTATCACATACTAACATAGCTTACTGACAGTTCTCAAAACACATAATACATATCCCAAGTACAACGTATAATCAAAGTACAGTTTTCAAATCACATAATCATCATGTCAGAAAACTACAGTATGAAAACACAAGCATAGAGAGGGTATCATCACTCATTGTACAAGGTTGAACAAAAGGGACTCCCAATTGCGCTCACCTGTCCTACTGATCTGGACGCACCTCTACCGGCGTTTCTGTAACCAAAATCACACAAAATTATCACCATCGCCGAAATCGGCATAAGAAACAGGCTCAGTAGCCTCAAACCAGACTCAAATCCTAAACTGGCCCCTTGGCGCGTATCTCGAGGCAACATGACCTGTCACCATAACCTACGCGACTCAGTAACACTAAACAAATCTACTTAACCGTCCTCAACACTACGGAACCAACCCCCACAAACCTCGAACCACAGCGAACCGGCCTCTAAAACCCTCGAACTAGCTTAGCACAGTCTAAAACTACCTCCAACTCAACTCAAATGGCCACGAAGCCCTCAAAATCGGATTCAGAAGGCCCAAAAACTCTAAGAACCAGTCTAACCCTGCAAGAAGGCCTTGAACTGGGCCAAAAATCCTAATCCTAAGTACTAGCACGCAAACCGAGACTAGTTCACCTGAACCGATCACCCAAAAATCACCAAACTACACGATTAACTAGGTTTCTTCATATTGAACCAGGAACCAGTCCAAACTCCCCAAGAACTGACCTGAAAACCAGTGAACGGGTCACCCAAAGGTCAACACAGTAAACCGGCCGGTTCACCTCGAACCGGCTACCCAAAATTTCCCGAACCCACTTGGTTTGATAGATCTTTCCTCCTCGAACCCAGAACCGGTCAAAAATCTAAATTCCAAGTCAAATTGCCCACTGAACCGGCCGGTCAAAGTCACTGGCCGGTTCGGTCAAACCATCCTCTTTTTTTTTTTTTTTTTTGGATCGGCTTGGCTCGAGCCACAGCTCGTGGTTGGGCTCGGACCGTGGCTGGGCTCAAGCCGCCTGCCCAGCGGCTCAGGCCCCTTGGCTTGGGCTGCGACCCAATTGGGCTGGCCCAAGCCCAAAACTTTTAACACATTTTTTTTTCTTGGCCCGCAGGCCAAGCCCGCAGGCCGTGGTCCAGCCCATTTCCTGGCCCAGGCCCACACGGATTGCCCAAGTCAACTTGGTGAGCCGAGTCGACTCGGCTGAGCCAGCTCAGCACAGAGACCTGGATCTGTCCGGGTCTCATCGTCCTCACCCGGAAAACAGACTCGGGGCAGCTGTCCGGGTCTGAACAGACCCGAAACCAAGAAAAATAGGAAAATAGAAAAAATGGGCTTACCTCAATGATCGAACACCCCTCAACTCCGAACAGACTCCGACGAACCTCCCAGGACCTTCAATCGGTTAGAAAACCAACTTAAAAGCCACAAAAATCCTTGAAGAGCCGTCGGTCGTCCGTTTCCTCCCTCGTTGAAAGAGCTCCAAAATCTCACTCTTCCTTTGCCCGGAACTCACAATTGATCGAGGGGTTCGGCTTCTCCCTCAAAGATGCACAAGAACGTGCTAAAAGCTGGATGAAATCATCACAAAATGTGGATGAATCGATGAAAAACAGTGTTCAACCACTGTTCCTGACAAACTTCTGCAAAATTTCACTTCTAGTCCCTCAAGCCTTGTTTCCTCTCAAACAGGTCCCTGGAAAAATTCCAAATTAGCCCCTGAAAATTAATTCTTGCAAATTGGTCCTCCACCTTAATAAATTTCAAAAATTGGGTCATTACAAATGCTTTCAATATGATTTTGAAAATTATAAAACACTCCTAACCTTGGAAAGTTGGTTCCAGGTACTTTACAAAAAAAAAATGTTAGAAAATTGATTCCTAAACAACCATTTCTTAATTATTAAAAAACAATTAAAAATATATCTTGGGTAGTAAGAGTTCTTTTATTATATAGAGAATTATTTTTATTTTTTACTTTTTAGTTTACAAAGCAGCAATATAAAACATTTCATTATTATTATAAAAAAAACTTAATAATAATTATTATTAACGGGAACATTAAAATTATAAATAAATGAAAGCAACAAAATTTTTTATTATTACAAGCTTTCCCCAAATCCCTAAGCTGGCCATTCATTCAAGCCCTTAACATTTGCACTTCCTTGAAAATAAAAAAAAAAAAAAAAGAAAGGAAAAGAAAAAAGAACCCTTGCTCTCCTCGTACCAAGACAGAAAAACCCTCGTCCCCGGAACTGAAGAAGTCCAGATAGAGCATATACAGCAAACTCTCTACTAGGAGGTATATGGCCTACGGAGGTGCCGGGGCGGGTCCACCGCCGACGGCGGGAGGGCCGTCGTCGATAAGGCAGGTGAAGTTGGACAAAGAGTGCGAGCTCAGAATCGAGGTTAGTGCGGAGACACCTTTGCGACTACGGCTTCTGAACGGCACTGCTGAGGTATTTGGCACCGAAATTGCTCCCGAAATCTGGCTCACATTTCCCCCCAGACTCAAATTCGCTGTAAGTGCTCGAACGCTCTCGTGATATTTTTTGAAATTTATTCAGGCGCGTACATGTTGAACCACGTATAGGCTGTATATGAGCGTTCAAGTAGCTACAACTATCATAATCTTGACGGCGGTATAGAATTAGCCAGCTTACACGTTTAAGCCACTTTGAACTAATTCAGTTAGTTGATTATCAAAGTTTTTGGAGATTGTCTTCTGTCTGGAAAATTTAGCATTTAAAGTAGATTTGGAAGAGGAGGAGCCCTGCGTTATATGTTGATTAAAACCAAAACCCTTATGTTAGATTTCTGTTTTCCGTGGAGAATTTGAGGACTGGGAATCTAGGTAACTAAAAAAGAAATTGTTTTTTGGACAAATATCCATTAATGGTGATAATTTTTTTTCTTTTTTTTTGTAAACCAACCCAACCCCAAAAAGAAAGAAAGGTTCAACCCTTTTTGTGTCATTTTCTGTTTATTGTCAATCGTTTTTATCCTCCTCCACAAATGAAGATCATTCTTTTACTGCTGGATTCGCTGAAGGAAGCCCAGCCAAGAAATTGAAAGAATTTCTTTTTTCCCCCCCTACTTGTCGGGAAAAGTGGGTGCAAGGAATACGAAACTATCTTGATAAACTAGAAATAAAAATTTCCCTCTCTAATATTTTTCTATACACTTTGTTTTATTGATTTTTCAATTTTTCTTCAAAAAAAAGGTTTGAGATTTACGTGTATATGGAGAAAAAAAATATAAAGGAAGAGAAGTTTTCTGTTTTCTACGGTTTCCTTTTAGTTTTCCTCTATTATCTTTTAGAATCAAGCATGGTACTCCAGTCTAAAACAGTGGCCTTAAAGGTTAGGCTTGCCTCGCAATTCCATGTTCATACTTATCTTCTTCTACCATGTCTTTGATAGAGTTCTCTTTTAAATTAAAAAAAAAAAAAAGTGAAGAAATTGGTTTCAGCATTTAATAAGACCCCTTGATTGCCTTGTCAAGCTTTGCAGTTCTGTTGTATTTTGCACCAATAAATGAGGATTCTTACTCAACATTGGATGAGCCCCACTCTGTTCCTTTTCTTTTTTTGACCTTGTTCCACCAATTCACTTGCAAATTTAAATTTGAAAGATCCATGCCTCTTCCTCTCCACAAATAGATGGTTTGAATTTGGGTCAGCAGAATTTTATGTTAAACCATTCTGGTATATGTATGATTTATTTGACAACCCTCTCCAAGCAACTCAGTTATTCTCTTACTTGTATCTGTTTTCCCAAGAAGTAGTTCAGCGCAAACATCTCTTGGCACAATGTAACAAATGATGTTTAGAGTGTAAATTTAACTTAGGAAATTTGGATTTATTATGTTACTAAAAATTATCCAAGGGAACAAGCTTACTGGCACATGCATGTTCAAAGCATTCATGAAAAGCATTCATTGGTCACATGTTAAAAGCAATAATTAGCCAGTGTGTGGCAATCATACTTCACATGCAGAAGGTTGTACAGTGTTTCAAGGATGCCCACTACTGGAAAACTGCTGGCATTGATCGGAAATGTGTGTCACTGCCCTATTATAAGCTGTTTGTACTTGTGTTGTATTGATGCACACTTAATTTCATGTGTCAGGTGTTTACATGGTATGGGGCAACAATTGAAATGGATGGCACCACTGAAACTGATTATACAGCCGATGAAGTAAACTTGTTGTCTCTAATAAGCTTTTACATTTTTGTCTAACACTATCACTTGCATAATATTGAAAAAGTAAAATTTCATATTTCTTAAATGACAGATGAAGTTTGTATTTTTCGTTTCAGACACCAATGATTAGCTATGTAAATGTGCATGCTATACTGGAAGCCCGTAGAAATCGTGCCAAAGAATCACCTAGTGATTCTGATTCTTCTCAGGTATTACTTCAAACATTTTATTTAATACTGAACAAAGGGTAAAAAGCATAAACATCAATTAAAATGAAGAAATAAATGGTTTATGTTATCGTGCTTTCTGATATCTTTTATCATTGCGAAAATTGTACGAGTTTGAAATAATTCTTTTCTAGCACAATTTTGGGTGAAGATGAGTCTAAGAAAATGCATGACAAAAGAACTCTGTTTTAAAACATACAAGATTCCTTCATCATTTAAAAGGCATACAAGACTCCCTTCATCATTTAACAGGCCTCAATGAACTGTACTTTAGTAAAGATGTGGGTTTGAATGCTTGTTGATTTGTGTAATGCTTTTGTTCACCAAGAATATGGAGAAGTGCTGTTAATTTTTTCTTTTTAATTTTGTACAACCCTACTATAGTGGCATAACAACTGGGAGAAAGAACAGCCTCTGATGACTGCTTGGCCAAGGCTTTCCCTACATATAAATTAATAAAAAGCTTAATCAGCTCTTTGATTTGCTTTCAGATGTACATTTAAACATATATTACGTGAGCTTGAATTACCCCAACCTAATGTTTTGTCTGTCCCAGTGGTTGTAACATAGGTTATTGATAGGTGGGAAGTGCAAAAGCTAGCTTGTAGAGTAGGAAGCCAATGGGAAATGATGTGGGAAATAGATGCAGGAATTCAGCCAAAGAAACTATTGCAAGCTGGTGTGGGCAAATAATTAACAGCTGAATTGGACATTAAAATGGTAAAAATGATTGGGAAAGGAGAAGGATCTTCTTGGTGGATTCCTGTTCTTCCGATGTGGTCCCATTAGTTTTGTTTTCTTCTGTGTTATCTCCTTTGCTTCTATTTTTAGGTTTGTTTAGTTTCTTAGTGGACGCAGTGAACTCTTGCAAAATGGGAAAGCACATTAAGAGGAAGTTACTTACAACCTGTACAAAAACTCCATGTTCTACTTTACCTGTACATATTTAATGATTTATTTATCCATAACAAGAAAATAATGAATTGATGAGAGTCCCTTGTCATTTCTGGAGGGAGAATACTGGGAATAAATAAAAAAAAATACTTCATGGTTCTAGTTTCTGTAGATCAGTTTCCAACTGACTTCCAGGGACAAAATTTTAATTTCTGCAAAATTGCTTTCAAATTTCCCAGCTATTCTGTAGTTTATTGTTAATTCCCGACTCTTGTTGAATTTCCCATAGTTTTCGTAACAGTATCATACCAGTATCAGAAATATTCTTCCTCTCACAAAGTTATTTCTAATCATGGTAACCAGTATGAAATATGGTTTAACATGTTCATCTGATCTGCACATGCCCACACGTGAGCGCACACACCAAAAAAAAAAAAAAAAAAAAGATTTGAGGAAGAAAGAAAAGAAAAGAAAAGAAAAGAAGTGTTTTTAATGCTTTAATCAGCATTTTTATATGCCTTCTGCATTTTTCATTTTGGTCTATAGAAGGGGCATATCTTACAAGGGGATTGGGAAGACAAGGCTGGAAGGAACTTGAGATCTCCCCTGAGAGAAGCATGTGCCACTTGCTGTGAGGGAGATATACACTGGCATCTGGAATGTGTCCAAATAATTGGGGAATTTAGGACAAGGGCTTTGTGTTGTGAATGCCATTTATGCTTTTTGTGCTTGTGCATTTTGCCAGCTGATGTTTATCCTCTTTCAGTTTTCTGTGATTTTGTTTATTTATTTATTTAAATTTTTTTATAGATACAACTGTGAATTTGTTTTCGCTGAGAAGGCTTACATGGATTGCTAATATAATACAATTTGGATTCTCTGTTGGCAAATTCAGCTACAGTCATGATCTCATTAGTTTATTGGTTCTCATTTGTTGGTTAGGGTCCAAGAGTAATTGTTGTGGGACCTACAGATTCCGGAAAGAGTACGTTGTCCAGAATGCTTCTTAGTTGGGCAGCTAAACAAGCTTGGAAACCTACTTTTGTGGATCTGGATATAGGCCAAGGATCTATAACTATCCCTGGATGTATTGCTGCTACTCCTATTGAAATGCCAATTGATCCAGTGGAAGGAATTCCTCTTGAAATGCCTCTAGTTTTCTTCTATGGGCATACAACACCAAGGTGACTAGTTATTTTTCTTTGTTGTCTGTTCAAGTCTGTGAATGTTATTTCTTTACTTATACTTTACTTCATAAATTGAATTTAACTTAACACAAAAAAAAAGAAGCTTGATCTGCAGCTCTTGGCTATTCTCTTTCATTTCTTTGGTTTTGGTTGTTCTTATTAGTATCCAAGTATTAGTTGTATTTCAGAACTGTTGCTTCACAGTGCCAATGCAGACTTGTATAAGGTGCTTGTGAAGGAGCTTGCCCAGATTCTGGAAAAACAGTTGGCTGAAATGCTGAATCTCGAGCTGCAGGCATGGTCATCAATACCATGGGATGGATAGAGGGTCTTGGTTATGAGGTAATCTGAGTTGCAAGCTTCTGCTTGGACCTGCCTATTTTATTTCTTTAAAATGTCAGGATGCTTTTTTATTTGAATTAAATGTTGTGGATGTTTTTATATTCATTGTTATTTTATTTTGCTGCAGTTGCTTCTCCATGCTATTGATACATTCAATGCAAATGTCATTCTTGTTTTGGGTCAGGTAAATGTTAAAATTTTGAGAACCTGCTGTTTCATTTGTAGGATTGCAGAAGGATCTAAATGTGATTTTCTAATATCTGTATTATCAAATGTTTTTTCTTTTCTTTCATTTACTTGTACAATGTATGATTTGTGACTGTAGTACATGATATCCAACATTGGTGTCAATTTTGGACATCTCAAAGTTTCCAGGAAACCTGCTTGTTCTTCCTTGGCCTATGTCAAATTTAAAAGACAGAATACATTGATCGGATGACCAGTTCATACTTACATTGATCAGATGATCAGTTCATACTTACTAATTCTTATCGATTTATGTTCAATGTTATAGTTTTCCTTGATAAAATCAATTGTCATTTGCAGAATTAATTCCCCTTTTGAGATTTGGGAAATTATCAGTTATTTTTAATTATAGTTGTATCACTGTGAAACCTTGAATATCTTCTAAATGAGTTAGGCCAATCCTGAGGAGATAGTCTATTGGATTTTGTTATAGGGATTGTTAAATCCACAAAATTTGTTAGCTTGTTCCAGAGTGCTATGTGAGGGTAGTGGGGCCCACAGCCCTCGTAAATATGGCTGTAGAAGAAGCTACAAAAGGGCATCCATTTTATCTTTTAATTCAACAATCTATTTCTGGAGAGTTCAATTTTATTCTAGGCTGTTCATGTTTTTATGTTAACATTAAACGTCTGCAGGAGAAACTTTGCAGTATGCTAAAAGATGTATTGAAAAGAAAGCCTAATGTTGATGTTGTGAAACTGCAAAAATCAGGCGGTGTTGTATCCAGAAACGCAAAAGTTCGCCAAAAGGCCAGGAGTTACAGGATAAGGGTACAACAGCAACTGTTTTGATTATTTAAATGGGAATTGGGCAATGATTAGTTCTCTGTATGTGCATATATTCTTAGTAAAACATATAGCTAATCATATGGATTGTTTTCTTTGGTTTCAGGAATATTTCTATGGCCTTGCAAATGACCTTTCCCCACATTCCAATATTGCAAATTTCAGTGACTTGTCTGTGTATAGAATTGGTGGGGGACCTCAGGCCCCACGATCTGCCCTGCCAATTGGTGCAGAGCCTGCTGCAGATCCCACAAGATTGGTCCAGTGACAATCAGCCAGGATTTGCTCCATTTAGTTCTAGCAGTTTCATTTGCCAAGGATCCAGATGAAATTATTTTCTAGGTATGTTGGGAAAGAAATGAACAACAAAAAAATAGAAGTTATATTACATTAGCAAGAACTGGTATGAGACCCCTTCTTGAGGCACTCTGCACAGAGATATAGAGTGGTCTGCAGTCCTTTATAAGGTCCATTTTTTATATGAATCCTTTTTCCCCCCGCAGACAAGGGAATTTGGTCATTGCTAATACAGATAAGTGCCCCAACAATTGGGACATTTGGATTATATATCTCTTTCTGTCAAATGTCAAGGATGTCCTCAATATGTTCATTGGCCTGTTCTCTTTATACTAAATTTCTTGCCATGGTTGCATAAGAGTAAGAATATTTTATTTAATCAGCAAGTCTAATGCATTTTTGTCCTCGTATGGAGCATGATCATTGAGATGTTGCCCCAAAGTTGACGTGTGACTTATTCAGCTATCCTTTTAAAATTGCATCTCTCTCCGTCACATACGTTGATTATGTGAGCTGTCACTTTAAGGATGACAACGCTACCAAATACCACCTGGCCTGTGCTGTGCTGCAACTGATGCGGAATAGCCTTTGAATTTGGCCTTGTTAGAGTGAAACTCTGAATTTTTTAACCATTTTGCGAGTTTCTTTGCTGACGAAAGTACTTTTTGTAACAGTAATGTTGCAGGGTTCATCTACATCACGGATATAGACATTCAGAGGTTCGGATCTCCATTCTCCTGTTCATGGATTTGTCATCTTTTGTTCATATAATCATTTTGTCCGGCTCTATTCGGAATTGTCATTTGCAGGAAAAAAATCACTTATCTTGCACCGTCAGCTGGGGTACTCCCAAGCAGATCCTTGATCATGGGAACTTTAACCTGGCTTGAGACCTGAATTGTTCAATATAATTTGTCCTTCGTTTTCTTTTGGGGCTGAAGGCTGAGGCTTCTAGCTTCAAATCTTATAACCTATTTGTATGTAAAATAGGGGTTTTAGTCCAAACCCTCGGATTGATAACATATTTGTGCTTTCATAAATGATGATGCTTTTATTTGAAGTTGTCAAGTTGGCATTTTTGAATTTTTGAAACTTGACCGCTTGTGCATAATCGCGGACTTGAAACGATTGTCGCTAAAACAAGTGAGAGAATCCGGCTTTTGAGTCTACTCAGGCACGTGGGACAGAAAAGAAAGAGAAACTTGACAGGCTGTGAAATCAAGAAGGAAGCAATTGACTAATTAAGATGCGTTGTCTAATCCAGAAAACGGATCAAAAATGGGAGGGGTTAAAAAAAAAAAAAAAGAAAAAACAATACCAAACAGGCCAAGAGACCCAGTTTTCATTGAGAAAAATAAGTCAAAATTATAAATATCTTTTCCAAACTAAAATAATTTAAAGTTGAACATTTATAAATATATAAATTTTTATTAAGAATGTCTTACAATAGCGTTCTAGCTTTCTTTTCTAAATGCAAGTTAATAGTTAGGTTTACGTAGGATTTTAGATAAAAGTGCAGATGAAACATTTCGAAAGATACATTTACCAATAAATATTAGTCAATATGTAAAAATATAAGTTCAATTTCTTAAAAATACTTATCAAAAAGAATTTTAACATTTTCCTTTCCTGACTAGAAAAAAAAGGTTAATTTTGAGTTCAAATTGGTTTCACATTTATCCTTTGTTTTTTAAAAAAAAAAACAGTATTTAACTTTTTTATTTATATTTATATGGATATTGTATCTAAATTTAGAATATGTACAAGTCAGTGAGAATGACATGATAATGAATATTAATGTTTTAAGAGGGTGACAGTTCAAGACGTGATGAGCATAGGCGTTATTCCAGATGGTGCCCGCAACTGTCTTTTATCAAGTTGCAATCCTTTTCTTCTGTTTGATGGTGCACAAATTAAAGGGTGTTTTAGTTGTTTTTATTTTTTAACTTTTTGGGTTTAAAATGAGTTTAATTGTCAGGTTTTAGAAAATTTTAAAACCATTTAAAAATAATTAAAATATTGAATTTTTTTAAATTTTTATAAAAAAATATTCAAAATATTTCATATTTTGAAATTTAAAATAACTCATGATGACCTAAACTGCATAAAAATATCGAATTTTTTTATAAAATTTTTCATCAGATTTTTCTGAATGATATCACAAAGATAATCTAAAATTAAAATATTTAACTTCCTCTTTCAGGAACATTCCCATTAACAAAAACTTTATTCATTAGTGTTGACTTTTTAAGATATTTTTATATTTCACATTATTATATTAGGTTGCTCTGCATTAACTTTCATTTATAATCTTGATAATATAAAATTACAAATGGATTGCAAATAAATATAATTTCCTTTCAGAACATTTATTTAAAGAAAATGAAAGGACAATTTTAACGCGTCTTTGTAACGTACCTTAAAAGTTTTTGTAATTACACATACACCAACATATATATATATTTTTTTTAATTTTATTTAAGTCGTCTTTGGCACGCAAGAGAATAAAACACATTTATGCAGGGCGGGGAGCTTCCTATATCTAGGATAAAGCCAGTGAAGGCTTTACGTAGAGTAAGGACTTTCCTTGTTTGGGATTTCTTTGACTTTTTTATGTTAATATAATAAATATTTTTTTATTTACTAATATATTTAAATTTTACTTTATTTATAAAAATATTTAAAAATGACTTATGTTGATAGCTGAACCAACTTTTATAAAAAGGACAATTTAATCAAAGCCATTTCTTTATATAAGTAAATTATTTTTTGACCAACTTCCTTTGAAAAATTGTCCTTAATGAATTGGTTTTCTTAAAAATTTATTCTGACTTAAAAATAAATTTTTTAAGAAGATGATTTAAAAATAATTATCTTTTTAATAAATCCAATCCTTACTCTACGGACATTTTTATAGAAGAAGTTGATTTGATTTATATCAATTTGTGTAAAAAATTGGTTCCATCTTAACTGATTTTTTAAGAAAACTTGCTTTTAACTATTTTGATAAATAAAATAAAATTTAACTAATTAGTAAATAAAAAATATTTATTATACTAACATAAAAAGCTGTTTCCTTTTACAGTTTTAATTCTGTTTAGAATATTTATTAGAATGAGCTCTTGCAAAAGGTATGACTTTTCTGGATATAATTTTTTTTCCTTTCAAAATAATGTCATTTTTTTTATTTATTTCTTTCAGAAAAAATCTTCCCACGTGTCGTTATTTCATAGGAGGGGATATTGCGTGGTTGAGGGGAATGATAAGTTCGGCTGACAGTGAACTAGGTAATTCTAGTATGAAAAAGTCAAAAATGTTCGAGGAAAATCATTTAAAACGTCAATCGTAAGCTGTGGTTGGCAGCATTTCATGGTCTATCCGTAGATCCATAGTTTATCCTGAGAATTTTCCTTTGTCTGTCGTTAGCGGAAAAAAAACAAAGGGAAGAGTGTTTAGGAAGTAATTTTTTATAATTTTTTTTAAGAAAATAAAATTTTAAAATTAATTTAAAAAGTTTTTAAAAAATTTTATGAGACAGTTTTGAATTTAAAAATATAAAAAAATATATTTTAAACTATTTTTTTCTTATTTATAATAATATCAGTCACAAATAAAACTATTTTCTCTCAAATTTTTTAATTTTATTTTTTCTTATTACAATAAATAGAAGTATAAATTAGAAACAAGTTTTGTGTATATTGAAAAAAACAAAATTACCTTTTAAAATTGTTACAAACAATTAGGAGATATTTGATAATTCCATTTAGTTTAATTTAATACTTAAATTCAAACAAATCA